CTTAGCCCCCATGCACACCTGAGCGTTTTATAGCGCGAAGCTTGAAGCTCCAAAATGCCCGGTGGGGGGCGGGGGGGAATCAATATTACTTTATGGAGATGGTTCACATCCCCACTCCAAGTTGCCTGAAGCAGAACGCCTGAAGCTCAAAAAAGTTTTGGAGCTACTTTTGTAGCTCCATTTGCGCAGATTGAAGCACTTTTGGTGCGTTTTTATTCCCATTGAAATCCCACCTTCACGTGCAAGCACACATGCAACCAGGGGGAGGACAACTGTGCTGGATGTTAACTGGATGTTGGACATTTTGGCCAGTATAGAGTACCATCTCTATGCTGATGACACACAAATCTATCTTTCTACTCCTCACCTCACCCCTTCAGTCTCCTCTCGCAATTGCTAACCTACTAAGTGACCTATCGGCATGGATGTCACTCCACTTCCTCAAACTAAATCTTTCTAAAACTGAGCTCTTACTATTCCCTCCAGCCCGCGCCCCCCCCTCCTGACTTCTCCATCAAGATCAATAATACAACCATCAGCCCTTCCCCTCATGCCAGGGTACTAGGTGTAATCCTGGACTCCAGTCTGTTCTTTCAGCCCCAAATCCAATCACTGGCCAAATCTTGTAGACTTCACTTCCGCAACATCTCCAAGATACGCCCATTCTTAACCTCTAAAACCACTAAGCAACTTATTCACTCCCTTGTTATCTCTCACCTTGACTATTGTATCTCCCTCCTCATTGGCCTACCTAATCGCAGGCTATTCCTTCTTCAGTCTATCATGAATACTGCTGCCAGACTCATCCACATTACTAATATCTGCCATCCCTCTCTGCCAATCCCTCCACTGGCTTCTCAGTGCCAGGTGAATACAATTCAAAACATTAACAATAACATATAAATCCATTTATAACTCTGCCCCAAATTACATTACCAATCTTGTCTGCAAATATCACCCAAACCATCCTCACTGCTCCTCCCATGACTTCCTGCTCTCTAGCTCCCTTGTCTCCTCCCATGCTCATCTCCAGGACTTCTCCAGAGCCTCCCCCATCCTCTGGAACTCTCTACCCCAATCTATCCCACTATCGCCTACTCTGCCCACTTTTAGGCGATCTCTGAAAACCTATCTCTTCAGGGAAGCCTATCCTGCCTTCATCTAATAACGGAATCTTCTGTTCCTCCTATCAGTTCATCCCCCACAGTTATTACCTTTTGTACCATCAGCACCTCCCTCTTAGATTGTAAGCTCCAAGGAGCAGGGCCCTCCTAACCCTGTTGTATTGAACTGTATCGTTTCTGTATTGTCCCCTTTATATTGTAAAGCGCTGAGCAAACTGTTGGCGCTATATAAATCCTGTATAATAATAATAATACATATTCACACATACAACCTCCTACACCATACCAGTTCATGCATTCGTTTCCACCCATCATGCACACACACATGACGCAGACAAGACATACCACCAGTTCCACCAAACCTTTGCCACATCATGACCAGGGGCGGACTGACAATTTGGAATCTCGGGCACTGCCTGAGGGCCCGGGGTCAGTAGGGAGCCCCATGAGATGCCTCTGGTACCTTTTTCATAGGCTTTTTTGAGTTTGGGCAAGGACACAGGGGCCCCATGATCCCCTATTGCCCGGGGGCCCCATGAGTTGTCAGTCCACCCCTGATCACGACTATACACAGGCCATGAATGTGCTTACATCTAATGACCCTATCCACTCACCAGCAACCTACCATCACCTCTAGACACCGGTAATGTATGTGTGGCTAAAATGTTCCACATTAGGTTACAATCCGGCTACATTGTCTTCCCTTCCATTGCTTGCCTCAATTGTAAAAAAAAAAAAAAAAAAGTGTTCTCTATGCAAATATTTTTTGGTAAAAAAATATTTTTTGTAGTTTTGGCTACTTTCAAAAAAGTTGTTTTTAAATAAAATTTTGTTTATATTTAAGATTGTAAGCTCCAAGGAGCAGGGCCCTCTTAACCCTCTTGTATTGAACTGTATTGTTGCTGTATTGTCTCCCTTTATATTGTAAAGAGCTGAACAAACTGTTGGCACTATATAAATCCTGTATAATAATAATAAAAAAAATTGTTGTGACCATCACTCCACTGCATAAAATTGAGCTTTGCAGCTAATTTACTAAAAAAAAAAAAAAGAAATAGAATAAAGAATTTTTTTCATTACCTAACACGTATTTTTGTGTTTGATATTTACATTTACATATAAAAAAATCTTAATATTGGATAGTGGGAGCTGTTATGACTAAACGACATATACATTGGAAGCAGGGGCGGACTGACCATTTGGAAACTCGAGCACTGCCCGAGGGCCCGGGGTCAGTAGGGGGCCCCATGAAATGCCCCTGGTACCTTTTTCATAGGCTTTTTTGAGTTTGGGTAAGGACACAGGGGCCCCATGATCCCCTTGTTGCCATCCCATGAGTTGTCAGTCCGTCCCTGATTGGAAGAGATTTAACTGGTGAGCTTAGAATCTTGCAGACATGTGCATAGAAGCCAATCAGCTTCAAAACTCAGCTTGTGCAATTAAACTTTGGAAATAAAACCTGGTAGACAATTGGTTTTTGTGCTGAGCATTGCCAGATTTTGCACCCTCCAGTTTAGTAAACCCCATAGATGATATATTTGCAATACTTAAAAATCAGATTATAACCAATAATAACATCAATAACATTATTTACTTTGGTGTTCAAGCACAACTTACCTCAGTGTGATGAGTAACCTTTCAACAGGAGGTATACTGTTTCTGAAGTACGTGTCCATTCCTTGCAAAGGACTACTGAGTAAACCCAGCAACTCATCAAAACTATGGAATAAAAAAAAATATAAAACATAAAAAAAAAATAAAATATAAAATATAAAACTATGGAATAAAAAAAATAAAACATAAAAAAAAAATATAAAACACAAAGCAACAACAAGAGAAAAAGTACAAGAGAAATTATTACAATGCTTACCTTTTAGTTGACATCAGTATATACTCAAAAAATGTTCCCTCGTGTGAACGTAGGTCTTTGTACAGGACCCAGAACTGACCCCTCTGTTCTTGCTCAGAAATGACAGGATGGACCCATATCTGTGTCTCCTCCTCTTTCTTTCCTCTTCATGAAAAAAATATGAAGTTACAGCAGCTGTTGCTATGAAGCACATCATTTAGTCCTCCATGCTTGCAGAGGACAAATCAAGGCTGGAATGCTGATGTAAACAGGAAAGAACTGAGATTGACCTAGGAAGAGAAAAAAAAGTAAACATGACAAGAAATGATGTCACAAATGACAATTTTCTCTATTGGCTAATAAAAAATGCCAAAAGTTGAAAAAGCCAGAAAACGCCTGATCAAAACGCGTGGAAAACGCATGACAAAATGCATGAAAAAACACGCAAAAATGCTACGCCCAGATGTGAATGAAGCCTTAGGGCAGACTTCTGTGAAAATTAATGAGCCAAACACACAAGTAGGGCATTAGATTTCTGTGGGATTTCTGTAGGCAGTGTACCGAATGCCTCCAGGTTGCCATATTTTTTAAATAAAAAATCACAACGACTGCAAAATAAAAAGGAAAATTTTTAAAAACATTAAATTACAATATTACTTGTATAGCAATTGTACATGCTGTATTAGTATTATTAATATGTTTTTCCTGAAAGTGGAGATACCCTTTAAATTGTACTTTGTCTCTTTTACTAAGCTCTGGAAAAAATTATCTTACAGAGTGCAACTGTGCATAGACTGAACAGCCTTTAGTAAACAAATCCTTGTGTGTCTATTCTAGGGAACTGGTTAGTTAGTTCCATTCTTCACTTACTGCATTTTTATAGACCAACCAGGATCCATTGTATTTTTTGGCACTACATTAAAAAAAACTAGTTGAATACCTTATATATGGTTACTTTTTACTATGCTGTACTTTTTCTACAACCCCAAAATAGAAGCTGCAAAACTATTAAAAAAGCTGGGCAAAATAATTGGATATTTGTAAAAGCCAATGAAACAGAACATTTATCATTTCTTATAGATACATTATCACTTCATTGAATTAATTTACTGTTAGGTTTTAGGATTCTCTGATATGTACCTGTTTAAACAGTTTTTAAGGTGCCTTTAAATCCTGCCATATGTTACCCATTACTATTGAAAAATGACAGAGTGATTTAGTGTGGCTATTAAAATTTTATTCTTGTTTAATGTTTGATACATTACACATCCTCAAGAGATTTCCCATAACCCATCAGTGTTTTCACTTAAAATGCTGCTTGCATACTGGGATTAAGATTAGAGAGAAAAAAACAAACCTTGGTTATGAATTGCAGTCGAGTCGAAAACTGTGACTCTGGGCACATACGTAACCAAGCAATCTGCTCCAAACGACCATGAGAATTCACTTCCCATTAGATCTTGAAACTTAGAGTTGCTAATTTAACTCAGGTGTTGGTGTTTGAATCCCTGAGAAAGTTTCAGAGGGCATGCTTTAAATAACGGGAAGGGGAATGTGTCCAATATTTGCTAGTATCAGAATGTTCACAAAATATCTGAAGAAAAAAAAATCATGGATGGTAGAACCTTTGCATAAAGGGGAATCCACAATGTTTTGGTGTTTCATTTTCATTTGAATTTTAACCACTAGCCTACAGGGCACTTATACCCCCTTCCTGCCCAGGCCAATTTCCAGCTTTCAGCGCTGTCACATTTTGAATGACAATTGCGCAGTCATGCAACATTGTACCGATATGAAATTTTTATCATTTTTTTGAGACAGATAGAGCTTTCTTTTGGTGGTATTTAATCACCTCTGGGATTTTTATTTTTTCTTAAACAAACCAAAAACCACTGAAAATTTTGAAAAAAAAATTTTTTTTCTTAGTTTTTGTTATACAATTTTGTAAATAAGTGATTTTTCTCCTTCACTGATGTGCGCTAATGAGGCTGCAGTGATGGGCACTGATAGGCTGCACTGATACATGACACTGATAGGTGGCACTGATGGGCACTGATGAAGAGGCACTGGTAGGTTGCACTGATGGGCATTGACAGGCATCACTGATGGGCACTGAAAGGCAGCACTGATACATGACACTGATAGGTGGCACTGATAGGCAGCACTGACTGGCACTGATAGGTGGCACTGACTGGCACTAATAGGTAGCACTGACTGGCACTGTTAGGCAGCACCGACTGGCACTGATAGGCGGCAATGATTGGCACTGATAGGCAACACTGACTGGGACTGATACGTGGCACTGATTGGCAGCACTGATAGGTGGCACTGATTGGTATTGATAGGTGGCACTGACTGGCACTGATGGGTGACATTGAAAGGCAGCTCAGATGGGCACTGATATGTGGCATTGATGTGGCACTGATGTGCACTGGCATGTGTCACCGATGAGCACTGGCACTGATTAGCACTGACAGGTGGCACTTCTGGGGCCACACTGATCATCAGGGCACACTGATCATCAGTGCCCTGATGATCAGTGTACATGTCCCCTCCGTGGAAAGACGATTACCGGCTCTCCTCTCCTCTCGAGCTGTCAGCGTGACAGCTCGAGAGGAGAGAAATGCCAATAACCGGCATTTCCGTGTTTACATGTGATCAGCTGTGATTGGACACAGCTGATCACATGACTGAGCCGGCACTCCCTGAGCCGCGCATGCGCAGTGAGAATGGTAGGACGTCATATGACGTCCTATCAGAACGAGAGAACCACCTTGTGCCCGTCATTGTACTATAGGGCGGGCGGAAGGTGGTTAAAGTAGGACTAAATGCAATCTTCGTAAATCTGCAGCTTTCATTAAAAGACTACTCAATAATCCTGCTATGAAATTTCTCTGCAGCCACTGCCTGTTATGGGATGACCATTGTCAACCAAAAGTATTCCTGTATTGTCACCCTGTCACATGCAACACTGGCTGAGACTACAAGTGGCTATGCCAACACCCATTGCACAGGCATGAACTATCTTTATTATTAGGCCCCGTGCACACTGGGCTTAAAAAAACTCCAGATCCCTTGGCAGAAAAAAAAATGCTGATATACAGCATTTTTGCACACACTTTAGGTGAGTTTAGAAGAGTTTAGCATTTTTTCCTCCTGAAAGCTCCAATCAAAAACGCAAACCAGAAGGGTTTTGTTTTCCGCCTGAAAGCTCCACTCAAAAACACAAACCAGAAGGGTTTTTTTTTCCTGCCTCAAAATATTGAGCTTAAAATATGCCTCTAATCGCCTTAATGTGCAAGGACACATAGGAGCTGCTTCTACAGGCAAAACACAAAACTCCTGTAGAAGCAGCGATTTTTAATTCAGTGTGCATGGAGCCTTGGGGCAGTCGCATGTAGACAGGAAATGATAGAAAGAGACTTGAGGAGAACAGCAGAAATGAGATGCAGAAAGTGATGAAAAAAAGTGAAATCTATTTTTTGGAAAAAAAGAAAAGCATGGCAATTGTTTATGGTACACACAAATGTCATCCAGTTAGGGTTCGGAGCTACTAAAAGTTTATTTTTTAAATGGGACATTGAATCCTGTCCAGTTTGGTTCCTACCCTATATTGCATAAATGATTCAATGTCAGATCTAGGAATCAGGGTTTTGTGAAACAGGTACTGTGCTGTACAGAAAAAGCGATAGATATGCAGCAAGTAAGCTGGAGGAAGACAGAGAATATACAGGATTCTGCTACGTTAGGTTATGCTAATAACACGGAAGAATGGTGAATACATTTAGGAAATAATTCCCATTAGGCTTCTTTTTTTATTATATTTTGCTATAATATATATGTGTGGGCATAGCAAATGGCTTGCTATGGAGTCACTCAACATGAGGGAGGGGCTAGGAGTGCATTTTTATATGCAACATGTTTGGTTTTTTTTTAAGAAAAAGTTCCTTTACAACCAATTTAAGTTATACATCATGTAGAACGGGGGGTCAGTAACCCGTAGTACTCACCCAGGTGACTGGTAGATCACAGTTAGGACTTGCTGGCCCGCCATCCCAAAGCATCAAACAGAGTTCAGTGCAGCAGGATCAGGGGCGGAATGACCATTTGGAAACTCGGGCACTGCCCGAGGGCCTGGGGTCAGTAGTGGGCCCCATGAGATGCCCCTGGTACCTTTTTCATAGGCATTTTTGAGTTTGGGGAAGGACACAGGGGCCCCATAATCCCCTATTGCCCGGGGGCCCCATGAGTTGTCAGTCTGCCCCTGAGTGGGACTATATATAAAGTTGGAGTTCTAGTCAGGAGCAAGAGCTGCATAAGCCGATATCCTTCTGTAGTACTGGCTCCTACGACGCCATATCATGGTTGGTGGGTGTAGCACCTGCCAAGCATGCCCCATTCAAGTGAATGATGCCACTCTGCAAGTGCCCTGCAACCTTGTGCAGTACAGCAAACAAGGGGCTAAACAGGCAGCGGTGTGTTGCTTTCTCACCACCTGTTTTAAGCCCTTGGACCCCACAGAAGCATGCAGTTACAGTGTATTTGCAGAGTGGCCGCATTTGCTTGATTGGGTCTCAATTGACAGGTGATAGCACTCGCCAAAAAAGCAACGGGGGGGGGGGGGGGGGTAATTCCTGCTGTGGTGTACATCTTTGGCTGGCACCTCAGCATCTAAAGGGGGTAGGAATTGGTTGCAGTAAAACCATGACTCAATGGCAGGGTGTTACCATTCCCCAAATTTACATGTGAACCTTTACATGTGAGTCTTAAGGGTGCCATTGCCGGATGCAATTAAGGGCTCATTCACAAGGGCAGCAGACACTGCTGCTCCTCTGCAAAGTGATCCCAGTGTGTTTGGCAGGTGGTGAGGGGGCGATATGTTGCCTCCTCATCACCTGGTTTAAACCCATGATTGCTCTGCAATGCACCCAATTGTGACACTGTAGTATGGCAATTAGAGGTTCAAAAGAGAAGTAAGGATTTTTTCCCCTATTAATACTTACCTATGTGGATGTAGCATTGGTCCGACGCAGCATCTGTCCCCCGCCAGCTCTAAGGGTGAGAACTCAGCGATCACCTGATCACTGAGTTCTCTTAGCCACTCTGAGCAGAGAGCAGAACGAACTGCACTCCTGTGATCCACAGAAGTACAGCCAAAAGAGCTTTGGCTTTACTTCTCCATTAAATCAGGTGTGAGGAGATGACACTGTGCCCAGTGATCTTTGACTTCTCCCATGTTGTTTAGGTACATTGCCACCTCTTTAAGTTTGCCTACCTCTGCCTGGTTTAAAAGATAAGTTCACCTTTGGGAACATGTTACATGTTCCACCCATTTTTAGGGGCAGGAGACCTACATGGCATCAGCGATCTACTGCTGGCTGGTGCAATGCTTTGCAGGCCCCTGTAGACAACAATAATAAATGCACATTTTTTTACCTGCAAAAAAATGTGCATTTATTATTTTTGTCTAAAAGATGTACTTATCCTTTAAACATACTGTGTAATATACTGTGCTGAGATAATATACTATGCTATACTCTAGCATATTTATGTGATTTTGCACTTCCGCCATAGGGGGACCACCAACAGATTGCTTCTGAATACTCACAGCAGAAGCTGATGTCCGAGTGCTGGTGAATGGATATCCGCCAGCACCAGACGATCATTGGGGAGAACACAGAACAGAGCTCTGCCTTGTTTACATAGGCAGAGTTCTGTTCTGTGTTCTGCCAGGAGGGGAAGTGAAGGATCGTGTGTACCTGCAAAGATTCCTCTAGTAAAAGCACCATCCAGTGTACCAAGCACATACAGTAGCTAGGCACACAGTTAACCCTTTGATCACCCTAGATGTTTAACCCCTTCCCAGCCAGTGTCGTTAATACAGTGTCAGTGCATATTTTTAGCACTGACCACTGTATTAGTGTCACTGTTTCCCACAAAGTGTCAGTTAATGTAAAAATGTCCTTCGCAATATCACAGTCCCACTATAAGTCACTAATCATCGCCATCACTAGTATTAAAACAATAAAAAATATTTAGTATATGTCCAATAGTTTTTTGACGCTATAACTCAATATACTAATATTGCAAAAAATGGCATGGTCAGGAAGGGGGTAAATCTTCCGGAGGTCAAGTGCTTAAAGAGAAATTATCTACATTAATACATTTCTTTATTTTCTTTTTTTTTATAATGAACATTTTTATTGTTTTTTTTTTAAATATAACAAACAAAGGACACTTCGCAGAGCATTCATCAGAACTGACACAGATAGAGCAAAAATAAAAAAAAAACAGTTGTGAATGACAAAGCACATGCAACCAACACATGCATAATTAAAGTAGGAACACAGAAGATCACAAAATCGGTGCACATAGGAATCAAGCCATGTACATAGCATGAGATTTATCAATCTGCATATACCATTCAAAAAAACTACATAAAGAGCAGTAATCGCTCCAGAAATGTAGCCATCTCTATCTGAAATGCTTTACAAAGAGCAAAAGAGAAGAGAAAAATAAATAAAAAGGGGCAAAGAGAGTATAAGAAAAGGGAATAAGTAAAGGAATAGAAAGAGAATCCAGAACTCCCCACTTCCATAGACTTCCGTTAATGGGCACTCAAAAAGAGCCAAAAAGAGGCACAGTTGTCCCATCATGGGGGTCCTCCTGTAAGTGCCAAAGCTCCCAAACCTTATTATGTCTATCCACCCTATCAGTAAGACGACGTGCTGTCAGGGATTTCATTAGTTGTACATCCTTAATCCTAGAGTATAACTCTACAGAGCTGGGCAGAGTTTGTTTATTCCAGTGAAGCTGCCATGTGCCAGTTTCTTAGCTGTTCTATAAAGTCTAGGAGGAAGCAGACCCAAGAAAAACACTTTAGGAAAGAAAGGGAAGTCTAAGTCAAATAGCCGTCGGAGGTGATGAACAGTCCTCCAATAGAATTTGAGGAGTGGACAATGCCAATAGACATGTAACAAGCTGCCCTCCAACAGTGATCTGTGACATTGGGATAGATGGCTTGGAGATGAGAAGGGGTTAAATATAAAAAATAGCGTATTTAGAGTATTTTATAGATATTCTCCTTATAAAGAGTACAAATGGAACTCTTGCTGCTTTGGGCCAGATCATCTGCGACAACTCCAGAGGCAACTCTTCGCCAATTGCCTGTTCTCATTTATGCATGCAACCATGTTTTCCATGAGTAGATACAGAATATGCATTGAGGAGTTTATAAATGTCAGAGATTAATCCTTACTGAGAAGGACCTGCAAGGACTACTCGTTTGAAAGCAGCTAGTTTGGAAAATTGAAGCGTGGGGGCTATGGTATGTGCATAATGGCGTGTCTGGAGATAGCCATAGTAAGATTGACGGGGTAGGTTATATTTCTCTTGGAGCACATTTCTTTTTTTAACCTACACAATGAAGTATTTTCAAATAGTAACACCAGCCAGTCATTTATCGTAAACTGTTTAGACATCCTTGAGCTTCAACAGCACACAAATACATTCTGACATGTCACAAAATATAACTGTATATACTGTATATTTATTGATGACCTTTTATTAATTATCATGATAAATAGTTTTTAAGCTTCAGTAAAGTGAGTGTGTCAGAGAGCTGTTAAAGAGGTCAGAGAGTTGCAACCTCGGAACATGATGCCGATGGTCTATTGAAAGCAGGGGCGGACTGACCATTTGGAAACTCGGGCACTGCCCGAGGGCCCGGGGTCAGTAGGAGGCCCCATGACATGCCCCTGGTACCTTTTTCATAGGCTTTTTT